CCAAAATAGACAAATGGGACCTAATTAAGCTCCAGAGCTTCTGTACAGCAAAGAAACAATCATTAGAGTGAACTGGCAACCAATAGAATGGGAAAAAATTTTTGCAATCTATCCAACTGACAAAGCGCTGATATCCAGAATCTACAAAGAACTAAAACAGATTTACAAGAAAAAACTAAACAACCCCATCCAAAAGTGGGTGAAGGATATGAACAGACACTTTTCAAACGAAGACATATATGAAGCCAACAAACATGTGCAAAATACTCATCATCACTGGCTGTTATAAAAATGCAAATCAAAACCACATTGAGACACCACCTCACATCAGTTAGAATGGCGATCGTTAAAAAATCTGGAGACAAATTCTGGAGAGGATGTGGAGAAATAGGAACACTTTTACACTGTTGGTGGGAGTGTAAATTAGTTCAATCATGTGGAAGACAGTGTGGTGCTTCCTCAAGGACCTAGAAATAGAAATTCCATTTGACCCAGCAATTCGATTACTGGGTATATACCCAAAGAATCATAAATCTTTCTATTATAAAGACACATGCATAGGTATGTTAATTGCATCACTGTTAACAATAGCAAAAACAAGGAACCAACCCAAATACCCATTAATGATAGACTGAACAAGGAAAATGTGGCACATATACACCATGGAATACTATGCAGCCATAAAAAAGCGAAGAGTTTGTGTCCTTTGTAGGGACAGGGATGAATCTGGAAATCATCATTCTCAGCAAACTGACAAAAGAACAGAAAATCAAACACCACATGTTCTCACTCATAGGCAGGTGATGAACAATAAGAACACATGGATGCAGGGAAGGGAATATCACACACTGGCCTGTTGGCAGGGGCCAGGGGAATGAAGCAGGAGGGTGGGTGGGGAGGTTGCAGAGGGATAACATGGGCAGAAATGCCAGATAAAGGTGAGGTGGGATGGAGGCAGCAAACCACATTACCGTGTATGTACCTATGCAACAATCCTGCATGATCCTGCATAGACCCCAGAACCTAAAGTACAATAAAAAATTAGAAGATTGCAGCCACACCCTTGGCATGAAGAATGTGTGTGTAATAGAATTGTAAGTAGAGCCTCTCAGCTCCACCTAATAGTCCCATTGCCTTTCTCACTGCTTTGTCTAAAGAGTGACATAAGGCCACTATGTTCTCTCTAGAGCTACAGCCAAGTTCAGTTCAGGGCTACAGAAAACCATGAGGTCCCTTACTTCTGTTATGGGGGATTTATTAGCTTGGAGAAAAAATATTTGAATCTGAAGATAAAGATTTTCTTCTTCCAGAAAAAGATGTTTATACTAGTATACCATGCTGAATAATGTATTAACTACTTTCTTCCTATTACAGAACTTAAATATGTTATTCCTACTCCATGAGAAAATATCACCAAAATAGATTTCTCTCCTTTTTGTTGTCAGCAAGAATAAAGTATAAGAGAGTACTACTATGTCTATTTAAATATATAAAAAACTTACTAGCTTTCAAAATTTTAGAACATAGGAGTATAATATAGAAGATATAAACAAGACAGTGGAATGGAGTAAAATATTAGTGTCAATTATTTTCTCATTTTCTCATATAGAGACCTTTGGAGAAACAAACATGAGAAAGAATACATAAAATCTAAGATGTATTCAATTCTTTATTAAGGGAAAATTTTTCTTAAATGTCTTTTTTTTTTGTAAGAGGTGGTATGTTGGTGCTGGTTCTCACTAACATATATTTGACATAAGATTTATGAATTGCTTAGGATTGAATCTCCCTTAAATGACCGAAAGATTTTTCATTATTGTACATATTGTATTGCATATGTGTGTTTTAATTAGTACTGAGTAGATAGCATGCAAAAGGTCGTGTTAAACCTGAAATGCATGAGCAATGGGTTTAGTCCTCAAAGATATCATGGTACTGACATAAAATACAGAAACGATTATGTGATTTGTGGATAGAAATGATGCTCTTTCAGCCACCAAATTTTATTTATCAAAAATGGATACTTGGTTTTGGTTCAACTCATTTGATCACCTTATAATAAATGAGTATAGCATAATATTATATTGATGTTCATAGGAACACAGTGCAGAGAATTACTCATTGCCTCTGAGAGCTATATCTTTATGGTTCTACTAAGTAAAAGAATTATTGGTGCTATCACAGTGAAATTTTAATCTACATATAAAAATTTAATTATGAAAATAACTTTTGTAAAATTATATGAAGAAAAGCAAAGAGTGCTAGAGACAGAACTTCAACAAGATCTCTATGGTTAGAGAAAAAGGAGATTGCTATGTTGCAAATAAAGATGCAGACCAACTGAACTTTCAGTTCTTTCCTTTTTTTATTTTTTTGAGACAGAGTTTTGCTCTGTCACCCAGGCTGGCATGCAGTGCTGTAATTTTGGCTTACTGCAGCCTCTGCCTCCCAGCTTCAAGGGATTCTTCTGCCTCAGCCTCCCTAGTAGCTGGCATACAGGTGCCCACCATCACGCCTGGCTAATGTTTTGTATTTTTAGTAGAGATCAGGTTTCGCCATGTTGGCCAGGCTGCTCTCGAACTCCTGGCCTCAGGTAATCCCCTGCTTTGGCCTCTCAGAGGTCTGAGATTATAGCACAAGCCGCCATGTCCAGCCTAAACCTTCAATTCTACCAAGTCTATTTCTCTTTTAAGTAAAATATCCATTGCCTTCTCAACCTGATTTTTTATCTTAACATGTTTAATAAAGCAATAATTCCTATAATACATTTACATACTCTATATATTATATTTACATATGGTTATGCTGTTTTACTCTACTGTTCACAGAAATTTATGTGTAATATGTCCAGTAACTCAGATAAAATCATATAGTGTCACATATTTTAAAACTCTAAACCAAACTCATATATGCTAAACCATACAAATATTGAAATAAACAAATGTAAATTTGACCTATAGTTTTTTTGCAGTTTTTTGAACTGGAAGATGTTTCATACACTTTTCTTGTTTCTTACATTCAAATATTCAAATGTGGGTAATCCAACACTTTTTTTTAAAGTACTTAGGTTGAATTTTTCCAAGATTGAATAGAATTGTGTGTGTGTGTGGTGTGTGTGTGTGTGTGTGTGTGTGCATGTGTGTGTTCCTGTATGAACCATCATCTTTATGTCATTATCAAGAGAAAGCAGTATTCTCATTGGGTATAAGATAGGTGTTTGCAGACAATCTTTAGTACATGAACTATATTTTAAACAGGATTTGGACATATCACTTGAATAGGATGATTTCAGACATATCACTTGATTAGGATGATATAATTAATTTAAAATATTTTATATCTTTTATGAGATAAATTTCTGCAGCATAATTACATCTATGGGTAAAAACTAGACTGACTTCTTTTAAAACTGCAGAAATAAAACTTTCGATATAAGGCTGACACAGCTGAGTTGTAATATGAGACAGGCAGAAAATGATGTTAACTTTAGTAGTTTTGTTACAGCTATGTTTAATTTTACAAAGTAAGTGTATATTCAAAATGTAGGAAGTTACTTTTAAAAATCATCTTAGTTTAGTCATACCAGTAAAATCTACCTTTAAAAGAAAATATGTGCATATATCTATGTGTTTATCTTTGCTCAGTGCTTTACATGTAGCCAGAAGAGATACCAAACAGCTTTAGCAAAAAGCCATATATATATATATATATATATATATATATATATATATATTATCCAAATCATAAATTCCAAATCCTGATATTGTGAGTTTTAATATATCTTATATATGAAAGCACTTGTATATTGACATTGACATAGACGTGGCATACTGCCTAGATGGTGAGGATGGTATTGGAGGAGATATTCATAGTATTTCATTATCCACAATGTAAGCTCAAGGAGGGCAAGTATTGTTCTATATTTTGATCACTGAAATGTCCCCAACTCTAGAACATTGTATTGTACATAGTGAGTATGCAATGAGTATTTATTGGATAAATGAATGCAGATTTGTAAAGGATCACCCTACATTAAAATTAGAATGTAGGGATTTGGATGTTACTTGTCTAAAGGAGGTATGACAAAAACCTAATAAGTGAGTTGTTAAGGCAGTGCTGTTGTCTTTCAATAAACAATTGTACTGTTAAGTGCTAAATTACTGATAAAAGTCAACAGGTAATCAGAGTTATATGTCCTAAAGGATTTACAAACATCTTATATTGTGTATAATTTCTCGAGAAATCCTTCCATGATTTACAGATTATTTCCGCATGAGATTGAAAAATAAGATACTATAGTATCAATTTTACTTTGCAGATTTTTTTATCTGCTCAGTAAACACTTTATAAATTCTTTCCTTCAGCGGTGTGCTTAGTACTGATGTAACTGCACAGACATGGCTGTCATGGTTCCTGCCCCTGGATCTTTCCTTCTGTGACAAAATTAAGTAAACAAGAAAAACAAAACGAAAAAATCCCAAATAGACACATAAAATTAAATTCTTCTTGATAAGTGCTTTAAACAAACCAAATGGAGAATGAGAATTTGGGGACTGAAAGACTTTGTAGTTATACTGATTAGATGAGCCAGTTTTGAGGTGGCATTTAAGCTGAGATCTGAAAGTTGCAACTTAAACTTATAAAGGGACTTTTGCCATTGGGATAGCTTCTGGAATATCTGCACAGGCGGGACACAGGGAGAGAAAAAGAAAAAGGGTTATTCTACCATTGATGTACAACAATCAGTAGAGTTGGAAATGCTTGCATCTGATAGTTAATACCCACTTATGAAAATGAAAATATGCTGTCAAGAATTGTTATGAGTAATTATTATCTCATTTTTTTACATTGTCTGCCAATGTTTGGGACATTAACTCTCTAAGATAGAGCAAACAAATTAAATTTTTGATAATATCCAAACAAATACAATATAATTTTATGTAAGTCTGACTATATTTCTATTTTCTATTTGATTTGTTTATTTTATACATGTTTCCCAGGATAGTCCACTGGTCTTACAGTCTGACAGAAATGTAACAGTGAATGCAAGAAACCACATGGGGCAGTTAACTGGACAGCTGACTGTAGGTGAGTGTTTTGGGGTAAATGTTGCTCCTACGATGCATGTTCTAACAGAGAAAAGTAGAAGTGTGTTATTTCTCTGATACGTAACTCAAGATCGCATTACAGCCCAATTTTCTTGCACATGATTTGACATGTCATAGGTTAGTTATGTGCCTTCTATTTGGTAGTTATTACTCTTGTCAATATATTATCATGAGATTGAATTACATTTATTTTGCTGGTCATTACTCTTGAATTATGAAATGCACCATTTTTTGTGGCAAATATTTTTGTAGTTATATTAATATAGTTAATAAACTTAAACATATGAGATGATATATCATTATTAGGTGTATGTATCCCTTTTTTAGGGGGAAATATTTTCTAATAAATAGTATCTGCTTATATAAATGAGAAATTGCATGAGTTGAGAATAATAAATATTAACATTTATCAATTATTTTTATTTAATGTTGAAATTATCTATATTTTAAGTTTCATAGCCTTTAGGTTTTGTTAATATAAATTAATGGTATAGTATTAGTTTTTTCTTATATCAAATAAATACTTTAATTTAGATATTTATATTATATCAAAATATAACAAGGCAAATAAGAAGTAATTTGTAATTTAAAGTTTTGATACTTATGTAGATTCTGAATTATTTTTATAACACTATTGGTTCTGGGGGGAAATTTCTTAACATTAACATTATGTATCTCTTTATATCTATATCTATCTATACATACATATAGAGAGAGAAAAAGAAAGAGAGAGAGAAAGAGAAAAGTAAATTATAATTTTGAGGACTAAGATATTCCTATTTTAATGAGAAATTAGTCATTACTGAAATGCAAATATGTATTTCCAATATTTCTATTTAAATTTTGCAAAAATGTTATATTTGAAATGTGAGATTTAGAAACATGAATTTTGCTTCTGTGTACTTCATTTGTAGGTGTATGAAATACTTTTTATATTTGTTTTGATGAAAACAAAAGGATAACATTTTAGCATATGAGGATTTTTTAACATATAACTTTATTTTATTTGTAAAAATTGTTTTACTTTTACATCATAAGAGTTTATTATTACATATCTCTTAATTGCTACAACTTAATAATATTTTGTGATAATTAGAGATAAATCAGTTATAAAGGGGTGCTATTAGCAAATAGATTCAAGATTAAATATAAGGAATATGTGTATCGGTACAGAACTGATTCAGAAGCAAAGGCCATTCACTTAAATATTCATGCTAATTCACTCCTGTTATGTTGAAACTGCAGAAACCATAAGCCTATACAAACAGGCCTAACCTGGGTAGATTTTCCATATCCTAATTTTATTAAAGTTGAGAACTCTTCAGCCAGATAGAACCTTCTTTTTCTTTCAGTCCTTGATATAAAAAATTCTTAGTAGAAATGTCAGAATGTAAATTAAGTACACAAAGAATATATACCCATGCCCACTGTCAGACAAAGTAGCTACATAATTCCTGCCTGTAGAGCAAAGTAATCATTTGCTTATGTGAAGCGCAGATACTGTTTGCATTTCACTGCATGCTTTCCTGCAGGAAATAAAGAATATAGTCTGCTTGTATTTTCAGTTACCCTTCCAAACTGATTTTAATGCTATATTGATATTTGCCAGATAGAAGAAAATAGCAAGAGCAAGAGGGAGAAAGAAAAAAGTTAAACTTAATTTTAAATGTGACAAATCATTAAGTTAATGACATAGCCTTATTGTGTAGAAAAATACGTTTATACTTAAAAATTGTTTAATACCCTGGTCCTTTGAGTGTATTTTTGATGACTTTTGTATTTATACTGGTTTGCACATTTTAGTGAATGTAGAGAGAACAAAAAAGACTAGGCCTGTGTGAAGGGGGATAATGTATTCATATTTGAAACAATGCCATAGGGAGCTACTTAGTAGTTGGTTGGGTGCCAGCAAAACAGTTAATCTTTTGGACACTCAGTTTTCTCATCTCTAAAATGGGGATAATGTCACATTTTGAATGCTGTTATAAGAATTAGGGTGATTTCAGTATCTACAAATAGTAGTTAATTATATATTAAATTTATTATTGTGATGATGGTGAGTATAATTATTGGTATCACTTAAGTTAAAAATACAGTGATATTATAGGAGAAATCTCATGATTTTTTATTCAATGTATCTGTGTGATATTAGTTAAGGTTGAATTATGATTCTGTTGCAGAGGTATGTTAAAAAACACAACACTGTGTATCCAATGTTCAGAAACTCTTGAATCATGTAAGAATAAATTTACCTTTATGTAGTATTTGAAGACATACTTGAATGAATCAAGCAATGTAGAAAATTAAAATTGATTTCTAAAGACTCTAATTGTAATTGTATAAGAATATATAAGTAGCTGCTCTAACCCTCTTTTTAATTCCTTTTCTTTTTCTTTCAGTTTTTGTTTATGCATATGACCTTGATTATAGTATAGTCATGATACTATTTTGAATATTTAAAAAGTTACCACACAAACCAAATAATTATGGAAAAGAATTTCAGTTACTCTTCATTTTCTAAGTAAAACAATTCTATGGTCTATCAGTAGAATGCATCAGTTTAAACTACTATAGTCAATTCTGAAAATATAACGGAATTTGAATATTTTTCCAGATTTTATTCTCATTGTACCATTTTTCCTCAAAAATCTATGTGCATAGTTTCAGCAAAGCAAATATCCATTGATCTCGCACCCTGACTTTTTCTTTCTCCACAGGCCTCGCTTCCTACTAATTCAATTCACAGGGATATATGAAGTCCATTGATTAGGCCAACCCCTGTGCCAATTCTAATCCCGACTCACTGGCAGAATTTAAAATCAAATTATTTCTAATACAATAAATGCAAAAGTGAAATGTTTTATACATACACTTGCTCAAGCATAATAAAAACTAAATCTAAGTATTTTAAAGCTTTAGGAAGAAAAATCAATTTGACAAATATTTTTGTGAATTTATGAAGTTCCAGGCTTTATGAATTTGACCAGATAATATCCAATTTCCCTCATTAAGTCTAGGATTCTAATTTTCATGACCTTCATAACAGTGGAGGAGATTAATGAACTCAAGATTTCTTCCTCCAAATTTCTCTTCTTAGAATAAAGCTGAAAGAGAGGAATGAGATTGTTGTTGAGAAGTGGTTAAAGAAAGTACAACATCCCAAGAGGTCAGACACCTTGAAGAAAAATCAAGAACTTTCTTAAACAAGTCTCAGAATCATTCTCCAGGTCAAAATTTTCTATTATTTAATCTATAATTACTATGTTTTTGTTAGCAGAACATTATTTTTCTTTTATAGGTGAAAAAATATGTGATTTTAGGTATGTTATATATTCATATATGTTGATAATATGATATTTTTCATGACTTTCTTTCAAAAAAGTAGGTAAAAGATGTAAATTATGCACCATCTTTGTAAAGTTTATTATACTATCTCAGGAAACTACTACAATATGTGATAGAGAGTAGAAATCTTTTGTTTATTGTAGTGTAAATAAAATATTATCATGCAGTTTTGATATAGACTTTGTTTACAACACTGCTAATGGTAATTAATGCTGTAGTAATTTGGCTCACTCAAAATATAATAATCTTTCCCACAATATCATAAGAATAATTATATTTTATTTAGCAATGACATTGAATTGATATTCAACAGACTATATTTGAACTACTTGTATAAGTAGTTTATGAAGTGTAGGTTGATTTCCATAAAATAATCTCTTTTTTAAAAAGCTTAGCCAACATGGGTTTTATTAAGCTATAGATTGCCTTTTCTTATATTACCAAATATATTTTATTTTTGATAAAGTAAGGGCTTTATCAAAATATATTTTATATTTGATAAAATATTATATTAGGTTTAACATATATTATTAAACCTAATATAATATTTTTCTTTCTAATATGCCTATGCCATCAGTCTGTAGCTGAAGGATAAAAATGAAAGGAGGATAAACTCAGAAACTAGAAAAAGATTTATCTTAACTGGTGGAGCTAGCTTTGGTTTTGTTTTTGTTTTTGTTTATTTAGTTAGCGTCCCTCATTCCGATTTAAATATTTTAGTCACAACGACTTTTGAGATACTCATCATGGCTACCTATGGGGTCCTATGTCATAAGCAAGAAGTTCCACAATGCCATATCTATATTATATTAAACATTAAAGTTAATTGGGTATTAAAAAGCTGAATGTGATTGTTCTGAAATTTTAGTTTTAGAGTGTGCTTAAAACCACAAACTTATGCTTTAAATAGGATCTCATATCTCATCATAAGTCTTCCTGTTTAATGCTCAATAAATTTGGAAGAATGAATTCAGAATGAATTAATACCTAGGAAAGGCCTGCTATTATTGTCAGAATCATTTACTTATCTTTGATATTCTCATTTCTACTTATCAAAACTCAGTGAAATAACAAAATTATATAAAAATCTTAATTACAATCTTTAACTTCTCATTTTCTGCTTTTTCTAAGTAATTCTTGAAAGCTTAAGCCTTACATAAGCCTGACTATATGTTAATAAGAAAGAATGTCATTTGCAAGCTATTAAACAGAGTAATATTTGTATTTATTATGAGTTTCTCTTTTTCATATTTTATACTTTGAGCAATTAACATCACTTAACAATAGAAACTGTTGTAGACAGCTTCTGCAGTAGAGTTGACTCTGGTTTCTTCAGAGGTCTGAGGTGCTTGCTTTCCTTTTCCAAGAAGGTTTATGAAGTCAGCGAGTGGAGATGATGATAAGGTATCAAGATTGGTCATCTGCTTTTCTCAGAGTGTGTTAATCATCTACACACATAAAAAATCAAAATTAAGTATATATATATATTGATTATATTAGTCATTAGGATTCTGAAAGTAAATAATTTATTAAAATTTTTTTTTGTATTTTTTGAGTCAATATCTATTAATAATACCATCCATATTATGAAATAACTTCCCTTTTTAAACTATGTAAGTTTATAAAAAGATACAT